TTCCCGTTTAGCTGGTGCATGCATTTAGCAGTGGCACGCACACACAAACACATCGCTCAAATGGCAAGGCGCGGTACCCTTTGGGCAGGCTGGTGAAGGAAGGGGCTCTACCCTTGCAGCCCCTGGCAAGACTTCAGCAGGAGTGAAAAATGCAGGCAGAACAAAGCCTGGACCCCAAACCTACGAATTTGAGACCAGCTCCGTTCGGACGGCCCTCCCAACCTTTGACTCTCACAGCTCCAACAGCCTCGGCTTCCCGAATTGGAGCTCATGTCGCATCACAACGTCAACCTCTGTCGCTCAAGCCTGCACAGGCGCCCCCACCACTACAGGTGGCGCTCCGGCGCCCGGCTCGTCCATCTTGGCTTTGCAGCAGCCGCAGCACACGCAGCAACCCAGCGAGGCGGCCACGATGCCAAGGATAACGGTGAGCCAGCCGAAGGCTCCGATGTACACGACAAAGATGCCCAGCGCGTTGCAAACACTTCCCATGGCATCCTTCTCATCTGACGTGCACTCGTAGCCACTGCAGCGCTCCTGGCAAATGGCATCCACAAAGGGCACGCAAGCACCCATGGAACCGAAGGCCGGAATTATGAGGGAGAAAATGCCAAGCACGATGGCCACGGTGGCAATGATCTTGCCGTACTGCTTCAACACTCCGCAGCAGAGCGGCAAGGAAGCCAAGATCACCATGACCAAGGCCAGCGCCATGCCACCGAAGGAGCCGCCATACAAGGACGCAGTGAAGGCGGTCTGGTCGAAGTCGCCGCTGTTAGTGCAGGCCCAGGCAGAGGCCTACAGGCCGCCAACAGCAGGGCTCGGGACATAGCTTGCACACTTGGCCTAGTCAAAGGCTGCCAGAGGTGAGAGCCAAAAATGCTGACGTGCAACTTGACTCGTCCTGTGACTCTTGATTCCAAGGATTCCAAGGGAAACGACATGGCACAACTTGTGTGATAACGCAAACAAGGGAAATACTCCTTACATGGATGAAACGCCAGGAGCAAGAAAGGCAAAAAATACGACGTTGCAAACAAGAAGAATCACCAAGCAACTAGCGGTGACTCGGCAGCGCTCAGAAATTCTAAAAAAAAAAAAAAACATCTTCCCTTTTTACCGCTGCGTGCATTTAGCAGTGGCAAACACACATCGTTCAGATGGCAAGCCGCGTGCATGAGTTGAGAACGGCAAGCTTGTTGTGCTCAGCAGTGGATGCAAAGCATGTGCCCAGCATCCGGTCAAGGCACAGCCATACCCTTTGGGCAGGCTGGTGAAGGCAGGGGTTCTACCCTTGCAGCCCCTGGCAAGACTTCAGCAGAAAGGAAAAGGCGGGCAGAACAAAGCCTGGACCCCAAACCTACGAATTTGAGACCAGCTCCGTTCGGGCGGCCCACCCCACCTCGGCCGAAATGGAGTCCATGTCACATCACAACGTCAACCTCTGTCGCTCAAGCCTGCACAGGCGCCCCCACCACTACAGGTGGCGCTCCGGCGCCCGGCTCGTCCATCTTGGCTTTGCAGCAGCCGCAGCACACGCAGCAACCCAGCGAGGCGGCCACGATGCCAAGGATAACGGTGAGCCAGCCGAAGGCTCCGATGTACACGACAAAGATGCCCAGCGCGTTGCAAACACTTCCCATGGCATCCTTCTCATCTGACGTGCACTCGTAGCCACTGCAGCGCTCCTGGCAAATGGCATCCACAAAGGGCACGCAAGCACCCATGGAACCGAAGGCCGGAATTATGAGGGAGAAAATGCCAAGCACGATGGCCACGGTGGCAATGATCTTGCCGTACTGCTTCAACACTCCGCAGCAGAGCGGCAAAGAAGCCAAGGTCACCATGACCAAGGCCAGCGCCATGCCACCGAAGGAGCCGCCATACAAGGACGCAGTGAAGGCCGTCTGGTCGAAGTCGCCGCTGTTAGTGCAGGCCCAGGCAGAGGCGATCCAGGCCGCTAACAGCAGGGCTCGGGACATAGCTTCCACACTTGGTCGAGTCAAAGGCTGCCAAAGGTGAGAGCCAAAAATGCTGACGTGCGACTCTCAGCCGGTGATCGTGTCGCATTGACACTGCATCCACTTACCTGTGCCGCTTGCTCCATGTGTCAAAATGCTCAGCATGCTTGCTTTTCTGGACAGTTGCTTGAATACGCTGCCACAAAATGTTCAGGTGTGACTCTTGTTTTCCAGGATTCCAATGGAAACGACACTTCCGACGACGCAAGCACGGGAAATACCCCTTACACGGATGAAACGCTAGGAGCAAGAGACACAAAAAATACGGCGTGGCAAACAAGAAGAATCACCAAGCAATTAGCAGTGACTCGGCAGCGCTCAGAACTCGCAAAAACAGACCATCTTCCCTTTTTACCGCTGCGTGCATTCGCTAATTTGAGAACGGCAAGCTCGTTGTGCTCAGCAGTGGATGCAAAGCACGTGCCCCGCATCCGGTCAAGGCACAGCCATACCCTTTTGGGCAGGCTGGTGAAGGCAGGGGTTCTACCCTTGCAGCCCCTGGCAAGACTTCAGCAGAAAGGAAAAGGCGGGCAGAACAAAGCCTGGACCCCAAACCTACGAATTTGAGACCAGCTCCGTTCGGGCGGCCCTCCCCCACCTCGGCCGAAATGGAGTCCATGTCACATCACAACGTCAACCTCTGTCGCTCAAGCCTGCACAGGCGCCCCCACCACTACAGGTGGCGCTCCGGCGCCCGGCTCGTCCATCTTGGCTTTGCAGCAGCCGCAGCACACGCAGCAACCCAGCGAGGCGGCCACGATGCCAAGGATAACGGTGAGCCAGCCGAAGGCTCCGATGTACACGACAAAGATGCCCAGCGCGTTGCAAACACTTCCCATGGCATCCTTCTCATCTGACGTGCACTCGTAGCCACTGCAGCGCTCCTGGCAAATGGCATCCACAAAGGGCACGCAAGCACCCATGGAACCGAAGGCCGGAATTATGAGGGAGAAAATGCCAAGCACGATGGCCACGGTGGCAATGATCTTGCCGTACTGCTTCAACACTCCGCAGCAGAGCGGCAAAGAAGCCAAGGTCACCATGACCAAGGCCAGCGCCATGCCACCGAAGGAGCCGCCATACAAGGACGCAGTGAAGGCCGTCTGGTCGAAGTCGCCGCTGTTAGTGCAGGCCCAGGCAGAGGCGATCCAGGCCGCTAACAGCAGGGCTCGGGACATAGCTTCCACACTTGGTCGAGTCAAAGGCTGCCAGAGGTGAGAGCCAAAAATGCTGACGTGGGACTCTCAGCCGGTGACTCGTGTCGCATTGACCCTGCATCCACTTACCTGTGCCGCTTGCTCCATGTGTCAACATGCTCAGCATGCTTGCTTTTTTGGACAGTTGCTTGAATAGGCTGCCACAAAATGTTCAGGTGTGACTCTTGTTTTCCAGGATTCCAATGAAAACGACACTTCCGACGATGCAAGCACGGGAAATACCCCTTACACGGATGAAACGCTAGGAGCAAGAGACACAAAAAAATACGGCGTGGCAAACAAGAAGAATCACCAAGCAATTAGCAGTGACTCGGCAGCGCTCAGAACTCGCAAAAACAGACCATCTTCCCTTTTTACCGCTGCGTGCATTCGCTAATTTGAGAACGGCAAGCTCGTTGTGCTCAGCAGTGGATGCAAAGCACGTGCCCCGCATCCGGTCAAGGCACAGCCATACCCTTTTGGGCAGGCTGGTGAAGGCAGGGGTTCTACCCTTGCAGCCCCTGGCAAGACTTCAGCAGAAAGGAAAAGGCGGGCAGAACAAAGCCTGGACCCCAAACCTACGAATTTGAGACCAGCTCCGTTCGGGCGGCCCTCCCCCACCTCGGCCGAAATGGAGTCCATGTCACATCACAACGTCAACCTCTGTCGCTCAAGCCTGCACAGGCGTCCCCACCACTACAGGTGGCGCTCCAGTGCCCGGCTCGTCCATCTTGGCTTTGCAGCAGCCGCAGCACACGCAGCAACCCAGCGAGGCGGCCACGATGCCAAGGATAACGGTGAGCCAGCCGAAGGCTCCGATGTACACGACAAAGATGCCCAGCGCGTTGCAAACACTTCCCATGGCATCCTTCTCATCTGACGTGCACTCGTAGCCACTGCAGCGCTCCTGGCAAATGGCATCCACAAAGGGCACGCAAGCACCCATGGAACCGAAGGCCGGAATTATGAGGGAGAAAATGCCAAGCACGATGGCCACGGTGGCAATGATCTTGCCGTACTGCTTCAACACTCCGCAGCAGAGCGGCAAAGAAGCCAAGGTCACCATGACCAAGGCCAGCGCCATGCCACCGAAGGAGCCGCCATACAAGGACGCAGTGAAGGCCGTCTGGTCGAAGTCGCCGCTGTTAGTGCAGGCCCAGGCAGAGGCGAACCAGGCCGCTAACAGCAGGGCTCGGAACGACATAGCTTCCACACTTGGTTGAGTCAAAGGCTGCCAGAGGTGAGAGCCAAAAATGCTGACGTGCAACTTGACTCGTTCTGTGACTCTTGATTCCAAGGATTCCAAGGGAAACGACATGGCACAACTTGTGTGATAACGCAAACAAGGGAAATACTCCTTACATGGATGAAACGCCAGGAGCAAGAAAGGCAAAAAATACGACGTTGCAAACAGGAAGAATCACCAAGCAACTAGCAGTGACTCGGCAGCGCTCAGAACTCGCAAAAACAGACCATCTTCCTTTTTTGCCGCTGCTTTAGCAGGGCAAACACACATCGTTCAGATGGATGGCAAGCCGCGTGCATGAGTTGAGAACGGCAAGCTTGTTGTGCTCAGCAGTGGATGCGGAGCATGTGCCCAGCATCCCGTCAAGGAAGAGCCATACCCTTTTGGGCAGGCTGGTGAAGGTAGGGGTTCTACCCAAGACTTCAGCAGGAAGGAAAAGGCGGGCAGAACAGAGCCCGGACCCCAAAGCAACAAATTTGAGACCAGCTCCGTTCGAGTGGGCCTCTCATGTCGCATTGCAACCTCAACCTCTGTCGCTCAAGCCTGCTGCACAGGCGCCCCCACCACTACAGGTGGCGCTCCGGCGCCCGGCTCGTCCATCTTGGCTTTGCAGCAGCCGCAGCACACGCAGCAACCCAGCGAGGCGGCCACGATGCCAAGGATAACGGTGAGCCAGCCGAAGGCTCCGATGTACACGACAAAGATGCCCAGCGCGTTGCAAACACTTCCCATGGCATCCTTCTCATCTGACGTGCACTCGTAGCCACTGCAGCGCTCCTGGCAAATGGCATCCACAAAGGGCACGCAAGCACCCATGGAACCGAAGGCCGGAATTATGAGGGAGAAAATGCCAAGCACGATGGCCACGGTGGCAATGATCTTGCCGTACTGCTTCAACACTCCGCAGCAGAGCGGCAAAGAAGCCAAGGTCACCATGACCAAGGCCAGCGCCATGCCACCGAAGGAGCCGCCATACAAGGACGCAGTGAAGGCCGTCTGGTCGAAGTCGCCGCTGTTAGTGCAGGCCCAGGCAGAGGCGAACCAGGCCGCTAACAGCAGGGCTCGGAACGACATAGCTTCCACACTTGGTTGAGTCAAAGGCTGCCAGAGGTGAGAGCCAAAAATGCTGACGTGCAACTTGACTCGTCCTGTGACTCTTGATTCCAAGGATTCCAAGGGAAACGACATGGCACAACTTTTGTGATAACGCAAACAAGGGAAATACTCCTTACATGGATGAAACGCCAGGAGCAAGAAAGGCAAAAAATACGATGTTGCAAACAGGAAGAATCACCAAGCAACTAGCAGTGACTCGGCAGCGCTCAGAACTTGCAAAAACAGACCATCTTCCTTTTTGCCGCTGCTTTAGCAGTGGCAAACACACATCGTTCAGGTGGATGGCAAGCCGCGTGCATGGGCTGAGAACGGCAAGCTTGTTGTGCTCAGCTGTGGATGCAGAGCATGTGCCCAGCATCCAGTCAAGGAAGAGCCATACCCTTTTTGGCAGGCTGGTGAAGGCAGGGGTTCTACCCTTGTAGCCCCTGGCAAGACTTCAGTAGGAAGGAAAAGGCGGGCAGAACAGAGCCCGGACCCCAAAGCTACAAATTTGAGACCAGCTCCGTTCGAGTGGCCCTCTCATGTCGCATCACAACATCAACCTCTGTCGCTCAAGCCTGCACAGGCGCCCCCACCACTACAGGTGGCGCTCCAGCGCCCGGCTCGTCCATCTTGGCTTTGCAGCAGCCGCAGCACACGCAGCAACCCAGCGAGGCGGCCACGATGCCAAGGATAACGGTGAGCCAGCCGAAGGCTCCGATGTACACGACAAAGATGCCCAGCGCGTTGCAAACACTTCCCATGGCATCCTTCTCATCTGACGTGCACTCGTAGCCACTGCAGCGCTCCTGGCAAATGGCATCCACAAAGGGCACGCAAGCACCCATGGAACCGAAGGCCGGAATTATGAGGGAGAAAATGCCAAGCACGATGGCCACGGTGGCAATGATCTTGCCGTACTGCTTCAACACTCCGCAGCAGAGCGGCAAAGAAGCCAAGGTCACCATGACCAAGGCCAGCGCCATGCCACCGAAGGAGCCGCCATACAAGGACGCAGTGAAGGCCGTCTGGTCGAAGTCGCCGCTGTTAGTGCAGGCCCAGGCAGAGGCGAACCAGGCCGCCAACAGCAGGGCTCGGAACGACATAGCTTCCACACTTGGTTGAGTCAAAGGCTGCCAGAGGTGAGAGCCAAAAATGCTGACGTGCAGCTCTCAGCCAGTGACTCGTGTCGCATTGACACTGCATTGACCGTGCTCCCCTTGCTCCGTTTGCAACTCACCTTGCACGTGCCATCGCTGTGACCCTGATGAAGCTATGGGGGTCAAAAAGATGTTTCTTGTTGCTATCAGCTTGCGTTCTTCAGTTCGTCATTCAGCAATCTGATGCATGCGATCCCAAATAGCAGACCATCATGTGCGAACCGCACTGCTGTTGTTCTCCGATTGAGTCATGATTGGAAGTCGCCTAACTTATGTCAAAGAGAGTTGATATCCGGACCTTTTTGGTTGGGAGGATAAACTTCAACGGCCCAGGTGATTGCGACATTGGGGGAATGTGGAAGGGCTCCAAGAATCCACATGTGGGCAAAGATAAAAAGAGAGGCCCTCAAAAGATGGCTCCGTGCCCTGGACTTGCAGCCCGGAGGGGGTTGACCCATGGTTCTTTGGGCCTTGGCAAAAAGTGCCCAGAGCCCTGGCACTCCAAAACCGCGAAATACGTTTGTCCACACCCAGAGCTTTGTGCCAAAAGAAGCTCCGTCTTGGCCCGCCTGCCCTCGCGTCGCTCTCGCGTCGGCGCTTCCCCGTGAGCCCACGCAGGCCTGTCGGCGAAGGTGAAGCGGCTCTCGGAGAGGTTGGCACCCTCCAGGAGATCGAAGAGCAAGGCCTGGCGCGACCCAACCCCCCGAAACCGGCGACACCCCCCCCCCCCCGGAGGACACCCCCGCCCCCCCGAAACACGCGAAAAAGAAAGCCCGCCCACTCGTTGGGGAAAAACACACCTGGCAACATCTCAAAAGACAAGGGGAAGCGACGTGGGGATTTCCTCTACAACAGCATGGAAACCCAGCGAAATCTAGCTTTTTGGCCAAACTGAAAGGACACTTCTGGGGTTGCTCCGTGCCTCCCTTCCTGGTGGAACTTTCAAACCAACCTCTTGGGGGGTTCTACACTGAATGTTCAACCCAAACCAAGAAGAGAAGGTTCAAAAGGCACACAACCTCGGCATTTGGTCGGATCACTTGACCGTTGAGTGCCTTGCCAATTTGCCCTTTTGGACACTGGAGTCAACCGTCATCAATGGTTGGTTGACCCCTTACGGGTCCGTAGGGGTTCAAAAAGAACTCTCTGCATACACATTCAGCCTTCGATTGAAGCTTGATCAGACTTTGAACCCCCTGCAAAAAAAAACACACATAACATGGGTGTGGGTCAAAAATAGGTACCCAAAATGGACCCCAAGGCAAATGGAAACATGGACCAAAACCTGCGGTCCGATTCCTGGTGGCTTAATTTTGACCCATACCCACAGGTTGCTGATGGGCGAGCACTGGCCTCGCCCCAAAACCGGGGGCCCAAGGCCCATAGGAGTTTCTGTTGCATCTGCCAGCCAGTCTCACGAGGGAGTGAACAGGGATCCGGATGCAGTAAACACCTGAACATTGACTTGAAAATGGTTTCCCACTTTTTCGTGGAAAAAGTCATGCTTCAAATGGTTGCAACATGGAGATCTTTTAAGGAGCCCTGGTGAATTTCCACCTTTTTGAGGGATCCTCCTAAACACAGGTGCCCAAGTAGAACCTTCGTGAGCTCGCTAACGGCAAGCTGGCACCTCTCTGACGCTACGTGTCAAGAATCTGCTGAAAGTCTAGTAGGATCCTTTGGTGGACGCGTGTACCCGGGAATTATGTCCAACCATTTTCGAGGGGAGTTTCAAACTGTTCTCAGCCACTGCACATCTGTTCACCTTGAGTTACACTCCTGTCTGCGGGCCTGAGGGTGTGTCTTCTTGAGGGCCTGAGGGCGTGTCTTTCTTGTGGGTTTCAAAGGGAAAAGCAAAACAATCAGTGCGCGCGGGTCCCCTTAAAGACACACCCAAATAAAGAACATGGCTCCTTCCCCACCCATCCCAACCCCCCACCCCCCCACCCCCCCCACCCTTGGGCAATCACAGTCAACACCGGAAGGTTTTGCCTGTTAGCCCCCTTCACGCGATCTTTTAACCCAAAGCACTCGTCTCCATTCGGAGTCGAGCTTTCCTTCTCCCCCGTTTAAAAGGCGCAACCAACCTCTGCGGGGGGTTCTCAAACTTGAGGCCCCATTCAGGTGGTTGTGTTGCTTTTGGTTTCTTACAATCCCAAACAGGGACCGCTTTGAGAACCCATGTCGCGCGCGCATGGCGGCGCCTGGCTGCATGCATACCAAAAACTCACTCCCTGACCGGACAGGCCCGCTGCATTTCGCAGGCCAAGGGTGTGGATTTGCACAGCTACAGTAAACGACTTGGCCGGCACTGGCCTCATCATTTTACCATCAAAGTCACCGCCTAAGTTGTGAGTTAAGGAAAACAACCCCGTTTTTGACGTTGATAACCCTTTTACCATGACCAAAGTCGCCCTATAAGTTGTGGGTTAAGGGAAACAACCGATTTCATTTTCTGACTTTGATAACCCCCCGAAACCGTCAAAATAATGACCCCAGCGGCACCATTCGAAAGGGACAAAGCCCATCGACCTTTGGTTCTTCTAAGAGGGCTATTAAGGTTTATACAAGCCTTGCGAACTATAAATCCCTTAAACCAAATGCAGCAGGGGTGGGAGGTTGCTGTGCACACATCAACAGATCGCCTGAAAGTATCTTTTGTTCCAAAAAAGCAGATACCATAGATCTAGGGGTTGGTTCCCCATTCTTTTCAATCATCGTTCTTTTCAAAAACCAGCTGTTTCTCCAGGGTGTTGGGTGGTTTTTTAGAAAGAAGGATGCCTGGAAAGAATGGGGAAGGTACCCCTAGAATAGACAAAAATAAGGTCCTCCGCCCCAAAAAAGAGAAGATTGTCAGCTGCTCGTCCCCTTTGCTGCGCGAGGCACCTAATCCGCACGCGCAATGGATCCATTCCATGCGAATGGATCCATTTGGGTGAGTCTCTACATGAGGGAACCATCCCAAATGGCGCCCGCCTTTTTGTTACAAAAAAAAATCAAGTGTAGCGAGCCGCCAAAAAAGGGAGCCACATGCGGCGGTCACTCCGCTAGCAAGGAGAACAGCACTGGCACAAATTGCATGCCCAGTCGGAGGATGATCTTCTGCAGAAAGATCTGGAACCACTCCTGAGCTGCCCTTCGCCACAGAATGGCCGAGATGTGCTTAAAACCCCTCTGGCGCCGCTGGGTTTTTTTCCGGAGCCGCGCAGAAAGCGATCTAGAGGCTAGGGTCTAAACAATTAGAATGGGGTGCTGGGGTACTCTTTAAGCAAATTGTGTCCTGATCATAGCATCTCTACTCTTGGTATGGTTGCGATTTTTATTTTTACTTGAGGAGCGGGTGAACGAAAGCTAGCAGTTGTTGCATGAGATGGGTCGGTGACAGAGTGGATTCATGGGTAGCTTGTGTACAACGAGAGGCCCGGCAAGATTCGTAGGATGCGACACGCAAACGCACATGGTGGCGTGGCAAACCTTGACAAATGAAAACAACGACAGGCGTCAGAAGCTCGAGGTGGTTTACTGAGAAGACTGAGGTCTCAAATGAACAAGCTGAATCGGTGGAACATGTAAAAGTTCGTAGCACCAAGTCCAAAACGGGCAAACCGAGACTGCTGAACACTGAGCCACTGCCCGGGGGGGGGGGATGGACCAGGGAGGAATCGAGCCTGAGACCCGGGGGGGGGGGAGGGGGGGGGGGTCTAAATAATTGATGTGTTTCAATCTTTTCGGCTCAAATAATTGAAAAAATCCATCTTTCGGCATTTGAGCCCCTTACCTTGCTTACGCAAGGAGAAACTTCAGCTAGCTAAAGCTAGCTTTCGTGATTTGCAGACCCCCAGTAAAAATGAACAGAACCAAAAAAACTAAAAAACCAAAAAGCATGCCAAGAACAGCGAAGATACGACAATGATGCACAATTATTCAGCCCCCATTTTACCACCGAACAGCTGGACCGGCGTTTCAAAGATCGGTAACAGTTCGTCCCCGAAGATGTCGGCACTCGTAAAAGGCAAGGGAACACCCCCGACCAAAAAAAAAAACAACTCAGGGGGCACTGAGTGTGTTTCGCCGTAATGTAGATACGAGTTTCAGTGGCTAGACCCTGTTCCGGACATCATTTAAAAAAAAGGGAAAAAACACGGATGGGGATCGATCTCCGCTATTTGGTGGGCTGTTTCAACCATTCAAAAAGCACAGCGACCCCCGAACAAAGAAGAGCTGAGTGGGGTTCAACGTTCCGCCGAAAGGGAGCCGCATGCATGTGGGAAAACGAGATGCATGTTCACAAGGGAGGGGGGGGGGGGGTTGGGCACAAATCCCCATGCAAATGATGTACAAAGCGAGGCTTAATTCAGAGCCACATGACCCATCCCTGATCCCTTAAGGAGCACTTGTTCGGGCTGTGAGAAACATGGTTTGTCGATCCACCAAAAGAAAACCCCGGGAAACTTGTTGAGTAGGTGGTCAGACAAGGTACCACGTCAGAAATCACCCATCCTCGTGTGGTTTCCTTTGAGGAAAATATGTTCATAGGTCATTCAGCTCATAGATTGAAACTATTACAACACTGACCCAGAGGCGTCGTTGACCGCGGTGCAAATGATGGCAGCTTTCCTCAAGAGGTACTGCTTCAGTCTTGGATTCATGAGTCAGATCGGGGAAGGGGGGGGAGAAAAAAACAAACAAACAAACAAAAAACGGATACAGACATGCCGCTCAGAATTCCGTTGAAGGCTTCCACATTCCTCATGACCCCTGTTTCACTCCTTCCCCCCAAAATCCGCCAAGCCCTGTAAACCCCTTCCCAGGCTCCAAGGCCTCGGTTTCCACAGTCCTTCCGCCGAGCTGCCAAGGTCAGGCCCTGGGCCCGCACGCCTCAGGCGTGCGACCGTGTGGCTTGCGACGTCTGTGTCTCCCCCACGAGATGATACGAGGCGCACAAGGGAACCTCAAAGAGAGGCCAAGCGAGAGAGGTGGTTCTCAAATCTATGCTCGAATGTATGGCCGCCAGCAGGGGTCCTGGAAGGTTTCCTCTGGACCAATCCTATGGGTTCCAGAGTCGGACCCAAACTAGATCCTCCAGCAAAAGAGTTAGAATCAGTTGGTACCAACCTTGTTTCTGTCTATTTTAGTAGGGGGGCCCGTCCCTCCCCAACCCAAAAAACAAGGTGAGAAAGGTTGCACCCTAGGGGGATCTAGCAAAAGATTTTCACCTGGGACTGGATGCCACGCCATGCGCGGGACCCACGTTCTTGGCAATCCCCTTCCTCCGGTAGTTGGAGCAAAAAGTTCTCAAGTCCTCACCTCCCTTTGCGAAATGCAAAAGCCAAAGCTCCAACTGCCCGTGTTGGATCTTGGAAAGCGTTTTGGCCCCAGCCTCTGTACCTGCCAGACCTCTCCCCCGCGCCGCGTTTTGCTGACTGAAGTCTGCATCCTGCTGACTCCTGTTTGAGCCGAGGCCGAGAAGCCCGGCTTGCCCTTTGAATCAGAGTGACCCAGGGCTAGTGACTCGTGACAGCTTGGTCGCGTCTGTTCAACATCGGCTTGGAAACCCCCCCGCCAAATTGTCCTCCGGTTGCAATGGATGCAAGGCTTGACTTATTTGGATGTTGCCGCGCAAGCGGTCGGTCCCCCAATGGCGCGATCTCTCAACTCTTCTGTGAAGGCGGCGCGGTGAAGAGGGGGGCAAACAGGTGTTCAATTTTGAGCCACACCCATATTGAGAACCCCCCTGAAATCTTGGCTGCTCAGAAAGTCGTCCGATCCGATTCTCCGGAAACCCCAGTCGGCAAACCACTAGAAGGATAACCAAGCTCCTTTGGCTAGGAAGGAAAGGTGTGTCTCAAAACCTGTTGAAGGATTCTACCTAAACCCACGGCAAACAGGCTTCATACTGCGCGCACCTGTTCCTGGCAAGAGGATAGTAAGAGGATAGTCCCCTAACCTTCCTCTATCCAAGTATGAATCACCAGCAAAAAGGACTTGCCGCGACGCCAGCTATGCAAACATTGCAACCTGGCCTTACCTCCCAGCACTTCCAGGAACAAGATAGCTCAGAAACTGGACACTTTTCAGTTTGTTCAAGCACAATCGTGGCCACCAAGAGAGCGGGCAGGAAAGATGGGGAGGGGACCAAACGAGCTTTCTAGACACCGGGAATCGTCCCAAATCGCCCCAAACTCCCAAATCAGCGAACTTGAGGGCGAAAAGAACTGGGTCTGGTCTCAAAGTGCCATCCCCCAAATCCGGTGGATTCCAGTTAGGTGTGGGGCAAAAAAAAAACACCGGTTGTAGTCCAAGTTTCCATTTACCAGGGTTCCATTTTGGGTACATATTTTTGACCCACAGCCAGTTGATCTTCCGATTCGTCCGGTTCATCGATACCGCGCAGGTCACTTCACAAGGCGTCTGAGCCGGCGACCCATGTCGATCTGAAGCTGCAGGGTATCCTCGAAGACGTACTCGAACATGCCTGCGCCAGCTTTCCCAAAAGAACTGGAAGCTCAACTCTGCAGATTTCACAAACCGCCTGCTTCGCAACCGGAATCCTCTACATCAGGGCCCAAATGTCTTCGTTGCTGGGACTAAAGTAGTGGATCCTGTCCCAGGGACAGCAGGGACCTTCAGGTAGCTCAGTTGCCCCTGTTACCCGGACCATGGGAAGAATTGTTTGACATCTTTCAGGGTGGCCCTTCCCAAAAAAATAGCAAGAACGCGCAACCGGTCTGGGTGTACGGTTGGCCAGGGATCCTTGGTGGCCTCAAGGCTGAAAGGGCTTCTCTCAAGCAGCCCTCTCAAAGGGGTGGCTCTTTTTGCCCCTTTGAAACAACGCTAAACGGCCCCCCTTAAAAGACGGAAAGAATGACACTCTTTTGGTTGTACGATTTGTTCAATCAGATGTGTAAATGAATATCTTAATACCTCACCATTATTCGCCGTTCCGGCGAATAAGATGCGGTATGTGAGCCAGGGTTGGAGTAGTGCTTCTTGCAATGGGCACGGGACAATGAGTGAGGCCCCCCTACTGTTTGTGGTGAGAGTGAGTCAGTCCCCGCGCATCCTGAGCACCAAATTGACAATGACGCCATGACCGCCCTTTCTTCGGCCGAACCGCACATGAGCAATTTGTTTGGCACGGACAACTACTGTGGGTGGACGAAATCCTGCACCACTTTGAAACCATAGCAAACCATTGTTTGTTGGTATTTACAGGGGAAGCATCACCCCAGTTTTTTTTTTTTTAAAGGTGGTGCAGGATTTCGTCCATCCACGGTATGTTCTCACCATGTCCATGTCTTCAATGTTCTCAATGCCCTTCATGTAGGCGGTGCCATGCTTTCGCGCCAGACAGTCAATATCAGCAACTCATATGGGTGCTGGCCCCTTCGGACGCCTGTGAAGCGGTAGAGCTTGGTGTCCACGTTGGGAGTGACATACCTGAAGGGGTGGCCCGGTAAACAATCCTGTGATCCCGTGTTGTTTCAGCCTCACACATCCCTGTTCAGTTCGAGGGTAGAGAATTGGGGAGCCTTACGTCAGTCCTGATGCTAAGAACCAGGTTTTGGAAGGCCTTTCTATGTATACTCCTCAAACAAACAATCCGCAGGACATGATTTCTGCGGAAAAGTCGCCCCCAAAACCCGCCGAAATTCTGTGGGAGGGCCCAATTTCCTGTCAAACCTGCGGTGTCTTGGAACTCCTTACAATCCAAGTACCCCCACCAACTAAGTGGCCTCAAAATGCACATCTGGCCCCTGATGGTTGAAACCACGAGAAATGTAGAAACCCTGACGTGAAACGTTGTTGACTGGTGCAATACGTAGGCCTAAACGGTAAAACCGGATATGAGCCCAAAACCAACAAGCCCAAACCCTAAACCTCAAACCGTAAACCTCGAAGCCAAGCTACAAAGCCCGTTTTTTTGCTTTTGCCAGCTACAAAAAAAACAGAAAGCACCGTGGGCGTGGGTTTTTTCACCGGGACTGTCTCTGTGTTCTTTCCTCGGCCAAAGGATCCCCAGCTTCACCCTTTGCTCGCTCTTTGCGCCGCGGCGCTTGAGGTCCTCCGCGAAGCCCTTCAAGTCCCCCTGGGCGAAATCGAAATCGAAGCCGCTTTGCCCGGCGGGGCACCGGGGCGGGCGGGAACCGTTCCGGGGGTCTGGTTGGAACCTGGGGTCAAACCCGGTTGAACTACGTGGGATGGACTCGGTCTTCGTTTTCCGAGAAGCAGCCAGGCTGAACATGGACGGGAGATGGAATCGTTGTTTTTGTTGTTTTCCATGAAAAAAGTGCGAAGGTCGAGCTTCAACAGCTAGCAAGTATTGATCTCTGCGTGTGGGGGTCAGCTTGCATAGTGTTCAGACCACATCTGGCTGGTCAAAAATATGTACCCAACATGGCTTGCCCTGGCAAATGGAACCCATGACTCAAACCAGCGGTCCGATTCCTGGTGGTTTCATTTTGACCCACAACCATCTCTCGAGAGCGTGGGCCGGGCCTTCTTGCCCCTCAAAGCATCCATTTGCTGAAGTCCCCCGCAAAAAAAAAGAAGAAGAGGAAATATGTCCAGTGAGTAGTGGTAGATGCCCTTTAAAACCAACAGGGAAAATTAACCCCAAAAAAAGAAATGCTTAGGCAAATGGAAGCTTCCGGTTTCGCCGAGGAAATGGGAAAATAAAAACCATGTTCTTAAGCGAATGGAAGAAGAGCGATGCCAGAAATGAGCCGAAGATGGCCTCCAACCCCTTCACCCCGCAGGGGTTGAATGGGATCAGCCACTCTCCTGCCACGAAAAACGAGGGGGGTATATACTTGGTTGACGCTGGAAGGGGAGCAAAAAAAAAAACTGTTTGTTTGCAGTTCAGTGGATCTGGATTTCAACCACTACAGTAACCCACAAAAAGCAAGAATGTAAAATGTGTCCAACAACAACCATGGATGCCCCAAGTTACACTGGTGGACTGGTGGTTTAGTGGCAACCATCTGAGAGTGACCACAAGTTGTGGGCGCCATTTCGGAGGTCGGTGTTTGCCAAGCTGGGAAGCCCCCCCAATTTTCACCGAGGCGCGTATCGCAGGAAGAGTGCAGTGCCATTGTGCCAGCGTCCTCACACTTTTCTTACCCCGCCGCCCGGGCGACCGGGGGCCCGGGGGGTTGGTCAGACAGCGAACCTCGGTTGCTTTCTGCGAAGCCCTGCCAAAAGCGAATAGCTTTTAGTGGTTCAATACGGAGAAGAAAAAAAAAAACCTGAGTTGGCGAAGAGTGTTCAAGTCCTAACATCCCTTTGCAAAATGCGCCAAAGGAACGAAGGTCCTGAGGCATACTGCTGGAAGACGCGGGCAATGAGGTGGTCTTCGCCTGGCTGGCGGTCGGATTTGGACGGAAGAAATGGCGGTGGTTTGCCTCAAGGGTGGTGGGGTTGGATGTGGTTGCTTCTTAGGGATCCTTACATCATACACCTGAACATTGCAACTGGTAAATGGTGGTTTCCAACTTTATTTTGGTGGAAAAAGCCATGTTTCAAATGGGCAAAATGTATCTTTTAAGGAGCCCTGCTTCTCTTGCAATAGTTGCCTGAATTCAAATGGATGTCTTTTGAATGGATGTCTTTTTGAGGATGCCCCATTCAAAGGAAAGTCACCATGTTGCCCCCCAGTCTTGACACATACCCAAATAGGAGGGAAACCAATGAAGATGAATACATTCACCCGGAAGGGGACCCGTATGAACGGAGAAACTCATGGGTGCAATCGGTCGACGGGCAGAGACGAGGTCGCGCTCTTTTCCGCCAAAGGTTCTTGAAAACTTAGAAGAGGGTCTGGTCAAGCACTCAGCTTGCTGTTTCCGAGCAGGGAATGAGGCAATGACCTTATAAACCCTTCCCCATGGTTTCCTTTAAGGGGGCCCTAGGTTCATTCCCGACACCCTCGGCCGTTCCCTACTGAGCACCAGCAAGTCGGAACATCTTGGGACTCCTGACCTTTGCATTGGGAGACTCATGCCCACTCACGTGTGAGGGTGTCTCCTACTGCGGATAGACGATTTCCTGCACCACTGGACCATGGGAAACCCATTGTTTGTTGGTATGTGCAGGGAGTCAACGTTTCACGGCTTCTTATGTGGTGCGAATTGGATTTCGTCGATCCACAGTATGTAAGCCATGGCCATTCGACTCCTGGGGTGCGCTTCACTCAGACCGGAGGTGTGCGTCTTCCAGAAAAAAATCGTAAGAAACGTCCAAACCGTTTGCGGTAGAGGGCCGGAAGCGGGATGCGGGATGCGCGGCGGGGGTGCTTCTTGATCATGTACTTATTTATTTAGCGCATGTGGCCACGAAACATGCGCCGCTGTCATCGCTAAGTGCTGCTTGTTCCAGAGTTGTTGCATTGATGTTCGCAGCAAAAACTCCTTCTATATAGTATATTAGGCTCTTACACACTCTTCTCGAGAACTCGGGGAACACAACGGAGCTGATTCGGATCCTTTCGGCTTTTCAAGGCTGATCCTCGGGGAAGAATCAGGCTGCCATGCTTTCTAACCGTACTTACATGTGGGTATGGGTCAAAATTAAACCACCAGGGACCGCAGTTTTGGTCCATGTTTCCATTTACCAGGATTCCATTTGGGTACATATGTTTGACCCACAGCCATGTCCCGTGCACTGAGACGTTCTTGCCCCCGCTGTCCCAAATGAACCGAAAGTCAATTGATGCTGCACTGGGCGATCCTTTGATTGTTTGTGCGTCTTCTGTGGCCTTGGCGTCGGACTTGCTAGCATGTA